AGCGCCCTCGGCCGCTGTTCCACAGGCCCCTTCCCCTCCCGTCGTTGATATTCCTCCTGATGATGACGTGTTTTCTCGGGAAGTGGCAGCTGTGGCCGATGAACATGACTCAGCTGCTTCTGATTTGGAGCATGACTCCTTGGAGGTGGATCCTCCCGATGCAGCAGCGAGGACGTCGCCAGAAGTGCCACCCGTGCGCCGCAGCTTGCGCACTCGCACGGTACCTCGTCACCTCGACGTATATACGACGGATTTACCACCTTCAAATGTGCCTCATCCACTTGAACGCCAGGTCAGCTATCATGCTTTCTCCCCAGGCCATCAAGCTTTTCTTGCTTCCGTGTCACAGGTTCCCGAGCCTAATCACTTTCATGAAGCCATTCGCCATATTGAATGGAGAGCAGCCATGCAACGTGAGATGAAGGCATTGGAGGCGAACCATACTTGGTCCCTTGTGGAATTACCTCCGGGAAAGAAAGCCATCATTCCTAAATGGGTCTATAAAATTAAATACTTGCCTGACGGGAGCGTGGAGCGCTACAAGGCCCGGCTTGTCGCCAAAGGGTTCACGCAAGTTGAGGGCATTGATTATCATGATACGTATGCCCCGGTAGCCAAACTGGTCAGTGTTCGAGCTTTACTGGCTGTTGCCGCCGTTCGTGGGTGGGCTGTTCATCAACTTGACGTGAACAACGCCTTTCTTCACGGTGATCTTGAGGAGGAGGTCTACATGAAGATTCCTCCGGGATTTGCTGCTCCTGGTGACACACGAGTTTGTCGCTTGCATAAATCCTTGTACGGTTTGAAGCAAGCATCACGCAACTGGTATGCAAAATTCACCTCGACTTTGTTAGAGATGGGTTTTACTCGCTCTCGTGCTGATTATTCGATGTTTGTTCGACGAACTGCTACTAGCTTTGTCACTGCCCTTATCTATGTTGACGACGTTGTTCTTGCTGGTGATGACGATGTTTTTATTCAGACAGTTAAGGATACTCTGGATGCTCAGTTCGGCATCAAGAATTTGGGTCCTCTTAAATATTTTTTGGGGATTGAGGTTGCTCGTTCACAGAAAGGTATTTTCTTGAGCCAGCGTAAGTACACACTTGATCTACTGCAGGATGCAGGGCTTACGGGGGGCGCCCGAGTTCCACGCCCATTGAACAGAATCATCAGTTAACCCGTGCTTCTCCAGTCACTGCCAGTGACACTGCCTCGTCTCCTGAGGTTGACCAGTCGGCCTATCGACGTTTGATTGGTCGTTTGCAGTACCTGACGGTCACTCGTCCTGACATCGTCTATGCCGTTAATGTTCTTAGCCGGTTTGTGCATGACCCGTCTCCTGCTCATGTTGTCGCTGCAGACAGGATTCTCCGTTATCTTAAGAATGCCCCAGGTCAGGGTATTTTACTGCCTTCTTCTGGTAATCTTCAGTTGACAGCATATTGTGATGCTGATTGGGCTGGCTGCCAGCTTACTCGACGATCCACTTCTGGGTATTTTATTCTTTTGGGCGGTGCTCCGGTTTCCTGGCGCACCAAGAAGCAAACAGTTGTTGCCCGGTCTTCTGCTGAAGCCGAATATCGGGCTATGGCAAGTGCCGTTAGTGAGGTCCTTTGGCTTCGAGCCCTTCTTCTTGAGTTGGGTGTCTCCCAACCTGGCCCTACTCCGCTTCACTGTGATAATCAGGCAGCTCTGCACATCGCTGTCAACCCGGTTTTTCATGAACGGACTAAGCATGTTGAACTTGATTGCTATTTCGTTCGGGACCATGTCACTGCGCGCACCGTTCTACCTGCCAAGGTGTCCTCTCGCGATCAGCTCGCTGATATCTTCACCAAAGGTTTAGGTAGTGATCAGTTTCATTATCTCCTCTCCAAGCTGGGCATTTGTGACCTGCATGCTCCGCTTGCGGGAGGGTAAAGGATACGCTGTGTTTTAGTAGGGACCATTTTGACACTTTGCCACTATGGTTCCTACGGCTTAGCCCTAGGTTTTGTGGCATTAGGGTTAAGTATTTATAGGTTGCATATTCTCCTTGTAATCTGTACGCAGCAGTCATAATAATAAGAAAGAACCGAGAAGAGTTTCTTCTCCGTGGATTAGTCCCGTTCACATCGAACGGGGATACCACGTAAATCGTTTGTGTTCTGCGTTACTTTTCAGTTTTTACAAAATTAGGTGATATATAGTATATACTAATTTGTTCCAGTTCATGAATTTGATAGTGGACAACGATATAAGGAGAAAATGTTTGTTCCCTACTATCGTCAACAATTAAAGCAACAATCTCATTTGCATATGACAAATCATATTTTCTACCATCCCCTTATATTTTAGCAAGCAACCTAGTTTCATCAAGCTGAACAATAATGTCATTTTATCTATCCATTGTAGATCAAAATGTTTTTGCTAAGATATTACTTAGAAGCTAACATCTCCTGCAATTATTGAATAGCTGAATCATGCAAAAGGATTTGAAATTGGATCTATGAAGGAATAATCTAACCGGTTTTAGAATTTAATGTATTGTCATATATGTAGAGTTGAGAAAATTTTGGTATCTTCTCTTCAATAGGTTTTAGGCTACTAACTCGATGATATACTTCACCTCCAATCGAATAAACGTATACTTCTCGTCCATCATTTATAGATTGTCCAATTTATCTAAAACATAAGTTAATGCAAATACCTCATTATAGCCTTAGACCTGTTCCAAAAATGACGTGCCATTGAAGTATTTGCTTGTAGTAGCATATTCAAAATTTCTGGAGGCTACCTTTGTGGAGGGTGGTTCACTTTGCCTTGTCTGTTGTACAATGAAAACTTTGGTTATTGAAATTCCTCGTGGTTTTGGACTTTTGGTACTCTCACCTTTTCACCTCATCGATCCACAATAGCAACAATATTTATACGAATAGTTTCCATTATCAAACACTCCAACAATTGCAATAAAATTAAAATTCCTATTTAAGAAATACATTTGATAAAATTCTAACATCAAAATAAATGAAGAAATGTCAAATCGGGCAAATAAAAATAAACATTGAAAGTCTCCAAAACGCATCACTTGAAGATGATTATAACAATATTCAGCAAGTTTGATGGACCTTAACAATCTATTCCTCTTAGTTTGTAAGTTATTCGATCTCATTTTGAAGTCCTTATCGGAATTAGTAAAGTAAGCAATCTTCGCATCAACACAAAATTTGATGACATATAAATAAAAAGGGTAAATACAATATATTAGGCACAACTATTATGAAGCGGGGAATTATAGCCACAATTATGTAAATTCAAATTATTAGCCATAATTATTGTTGCGAGTCAAGATATGGCTAACTGTTCGTTACTATTATTGAATTTTTAACCGAGAAGGCCACGTCATCGACCACAGCAGCAGCCACGTCGGACTGTTTTTAATTTATAACTTTAAAACATAAAAGTTTAGTCAGCATTATTAAAGGAATTGTTAACAGAGAGTTAACGTTTGGCTAAGAATTTGAATTTCCATAGTTGTGGCTATAATTCCCCGCTTCAGAATAGTTGTGGCTAATATATGTATTTACCCAAATAAAAACCAAACATGAAGTAAACGGATTACCAGTAGGAATGTTGACAATTTTTCCATATATACGTTTTTTCTTTATATAAAAAGCATATTTTCTTCTAGCTAATTTCTAAAATATATAATATGGACTAATAGTTTTGCAAGACGTATTTAATTATGCTAATAAAACTATATGTACTTACATTCAATTTTTGACAATCGAATTGAAGCACTATATAAGCAATGTAAATTAACTTTAGTCTAAATAATATATAGCAAAATAGTTGACGATAGAGGGGTTCTAACATGAGCATGAAATCCTTAACTAATTACTTAAATATTTTTTTTTTTTTGATAATCAGCCCCTGCAATATCATTGATCAAATTAGGTGTGGGCTTTGTCAGCCTCCAACAGTTCCCAAATGGGGCAAGGTGGGCAGTCGGTCTATACAAAGGGTTGGTTCCAACTAGGCGCCAAATGGGCCAAACAGTGGGCTACCGAGTTTTTCGTTCAAAATTTTTGTTCCGATATATGACTCAACATATGACCCTGTTTTTATTTGAAACTAAAGCAAGTATTATTTTATCTTTTTTTCTGCCAAAAAATTGCATATACATACAGCCGTTCCTTGAAAGCAACCCACTAAAGAAAATATTGAGAATTCAGGCCCATACATATACATTACAGTACACACAAAAAGAAATCCAAGACCGGCTACTAAATTGACCATAAAGGCCTTCCGTACTCTGCGCAGGAGTAAGGAAAAAGAGAATGAGGAGGAGGGTGCAGGAGGAGAACCTCCATATAGTAGTGTTTAGCAATGCAGTCAAAATCGCGCTTTAAAACTTAAAAACTTACGATTTTACGCTTTTGGGTCATCAAAACGCTTTCGTTTCCATATAAAAACTTAAATGTATAAAATCGTACTAAATTGCGCTTTAAAGCTTAAAAACTTACGGTTTTACGGTTCTAGTTCACCAAAACGCTTTACGTTTTTACGCTTTTAGTTCACTAAATGAGTATTCTTTTCATGAAATTAATTATGAAAAGTATATTTTTAAAGTAAATCACTAACAATATGATACATTTGAGATTAAAAGATATATATAGGTACTTGGATGCATTCTACTTCAATAGAGTAATCTAATTCACCAGCTAGGGTTTTCCCAAATTCATTAGCATAGAGGGAAAAGTGGCTTATCGTTAAAATTTATGTTTACGAACTTATTATTAAGATGATATAAGTTGCTCTACTTAAAACATGAATCACATGTATTTATTAACTTATCTAAATTCTGTGCATTCATATTTTGCATAGCATATGTCCTACTTAATATATTTTTAGTTATTTTTCAGTATGCGTCAAAAACTTACGCTTTTACGCTTTGATTCGACGTTTTACGATTTTACCCCTTTTCCGCTTCTAGGTAGAATCGCGCTTTTGACTGCATTGGTGTTTAGATAATAAAAGATAAAAAATACAAAGAGGTTGGAGTAGATTGCAAAATTCATATTCAGAGTGTTAATAATTAAAAAAAAAAAAAAAAACAGTTCCATGAATGGGCGAATTTCCATTTCCTGAATTCCTCATGCTTACGGCCTCCGCCTCCGACTCCTTTTCGTCCTCCTATTATCTATACCCCTCCTCCTCTAGCCTCTGACGATCAATCATAAATTCATTATCAAGCCAGCCAGCCCAACAGATCTATTCTCATTTTCCGACTCTTTCTCCTCCATTTCCCGGCTTCACTCTCTTCCTAGTCTTCCCTTTCTCCAATCCGCTGCTCGAACGCTCTGGAGATTGCCAGCCATGGCGGGCCTTTCGTCGAGCAGGCTGAAATCCATGGATTTCTACAGGTTTTTCCTCCTCATTTCCTTCCCGTTCCTCGTTTTTATCTCAGCGGCATTCCGGTTCTCGACGGATCTAGAATTCTGAATTGCGTCGCCGGCCGCGTCCAGAGCATTGGAACCCGGCGACAATCGCTCGTCCATTTCGTTTTTCTTCTTTCTATCTAATGCATGATCGGTGCCTTCTGGCGCTGTCGAGTGTTCTCCTCGTGGAGGAATGCGTTCCGATCCGACTCTGTTTTCCTAGCTTGTTCTAGGCTCGCATACTGCATTTGGTTTCCTGTTGCATAGCGCATGTTTGATCCCATTAGCTCGTTTCCATGACTACTTGCTTCGCATCTGCGCCAGAATTCTGCAATGCCAGAAAGAATACTACTCAAGTGACCTGTCAATTGGAATTTTGTGCAATTTTTTTCGTATTGCTAAGAAATTCGGTAGCCTTTTGTTTTGGAGCTAGAACACTTGATGAACGTTCCTTGCTGCAGTTCTCGTGTAGGAAAATTACTCGAGATAGGAAACTTAACTAGAATGAGAGGAAGTTAAAATCTGTTCGTTAGTTACCTTTTCCCTTACTTTGCTTGACTAAATGAGTCCGTTAGAGAATCGTTTGTTCCTTAATCTCCCAAAAAGGGTGCAGGTTGCCAGGTTCCGCTTTCTGTATGTCTCTTCTTATTCTCTTTTTCCTTCTAATGGTTGATTTTGGTGTGCAGGAAAATCCCCAGAGATTTGACTGAAGCATCATTATCCGGTGCTGGACTATCCATTGTAGCTGCACTGGCCATGGTTTTTCTTTTTGGAATGGTAGGTTACTTCTACATATTTATAGGAAATTAAGGTTATCAGCGTGTAAACCGTGATTGGGTATTATCAGTTGATGAGCAAATACTCGCCAATGTCGATCCTGAGACATTCTTTAATTTTGTTAGACATTTGGTGCTGGGAATGTAATCTAACATGTTGATCATTACAGGAACTGAGTAACTATCTAGCAGTAAACACCTCTACATCTGTGATTGTAGACAAGAGTACCGATGGCGACTTTTTACGCATTGATTTTAATATCAGGTAAATAAAACACACAAGAGTAGGCCTATCTTATCTTAACAGTGATTTCCTTTGTACCAGGTTCTGTGTATTAGTATATGAGATTCTGTTGAGTTCTGTTGCAGTGGACTAGAGAAGAGAAGTATACTGTTAATTGTTCATCCATCGGTAATTAAATTAGAACCCGGAGTCCTAAATTGTTCCTGTAATGTCTCGAGGCTTTATCAGATCAGTAATAAATCATGTCTTTCCTATTAGCTTGACTGTCATGTTCAACAGAATTTCAAAAAACAGTTTAACCAAACTATTACAAGTATATTGCCAATAATTCAATGTGTTGTTCACATTTCATGTCTTCTTTTTGGAAAAGAAATCATCAGTCTCTCTTATTTTTGTTTTTTCATTTTCCTAATAAGTAGGTTAACAAGGAGCATGCTTGTTGTTCAGAAATAAAAGCTCGATTTTGCATTATTGCTCATGCGGGACCTCAAATATGTCAGAATTCTTAATGTAACATATATCATTTTTTAAATCCACTATTAAGTATGATTGATACTGTTGAATACATGTACAATTATCGTACCCATTATTTACAGTGGGAGGTCCATTGTCCCGGAAAAGTCCAGGCTAAACGTGGTCTAGAAGTGCATGCTGTCAGTATTCATGTTTCAATTTGACACCTTCATGTCTGAAGCATAGTCTTCAAGTCATGTCAAGCAGTTCTTATGCTTCTCTTCAATTGTTTCAGTTCTCTGTAACTTGTACTCTGAAGCTTTCTTTTTACCTATTGTTTAATTCTGGACTAACAACCGTCGCATTTCTGTAGTTTTCCAGCCCTCTCATGTGAATTTGCAGCAGTTGACGTGAGCGATGTGTTAGGAACTGTAAGTTTATGATACATCATCTTATTATATTTTTACGGGGAGAAATGTCAATGTTTCCAATTACCATATTAGTGTTTGGTAATTTTGGTCAAAGATGAATTTGTCTGAAGATTAAAGCACAAAGAATGTTTCTTTTGAACCTAAGTTTGTTAATCTCTTCTAGCACGGAATCCAAATATAGTTGTGCAATCTTCTGAAAGTTCGTTCGATTTATTAAAATTTTACAAACTAAAGTTATTATGCGTATGTGTTGGATGTGGTTTTATTTGGGTCCTGAACTGTTGTCCAGAACTTGGCTTCCTTATGTATTATGTCATTTTACTTTATCCCATACCTTACCTCAGCTATACAAAGCTTGTTATTGTACTCTTCATAGTGGAGTCCTGCCTGATTCTTTCAAGTTCTTGTATTCAGAACAGGTTAAACATTACAAAAACAGTCAGAAAATACTCTATAGATCACGATCTAAAGCCCACTGGTGCTGAGTTTCACTCAGGCCCTATTATGCAGCTCATTAAGCATGATGAGTATGTTGGTGAACATGAGGGTGAGGGTTCTGTGACACTCAGTGCTCGGAATTTTGATGTTTACTCAAATCAGTAAGTAGTGTGCTGATCTAAGGTTAATACTGTGAAGAGATTTCATGCTTGGTGGTTCAACTGACACGACCCCGTTCCCATGTGTTTTTCTTTTGTTTCCAGGTTTCCGATATTGGTTGTCAATTTCTATGCTCCTTGGTGCTACTGGAGCAATCGCTTGGTAGAATCCTATTAATATTGTTGATAAATTCCTGCTACGATTTTTAATTATATTTTCATCTTGTCGTGAAAGTACTACGTTAAACTTGATGAACCATAATGTGCTTCTGGTTATCTGATGTTTTACTTTTGCATTTCTAACTTCATCTCTTACTCATTTCAGAAACCTTCTTGGGAAAAGGCATCTAAAATTATGGCGGAAAGGTTTCAATCATATTTTTTTGTTGTTAAAAAGTTTCTTGTTTCATTGTTTTTTATCCATGATTTCTTGAGCAGATCTAAGGGTATCTGGTTCCCTCATTGCTCTTATTTTTAACAGATACGACCCTGAAACTGATGGACGCATCATTTTGGCCAAAGTGGATTGCACTGAAGAAGGTGAATTATGTAGGAGGTACTGACTGTGTTCTATAAATCCTCCCTCTGTGGCGACGCTCAGAACTAGAATGGACTTTTTTTCCGATCTTACTTTGCGATTTAAAAATTAAAACTCTTGCTAATCTGTGTATCCATTATCTCCCTCGCTATTTCTTAAGGTCAAAATGAAAAGAGAAATAGAAAGAATGAAGTCTTTTCAGATGTAGTGTCTTCTGAGTTTACAGTTGAAGCCGTGATTTAGTATTGGTAGCATGGTAATCATTTATTAGTTATTTATCCCGTTTTTCCTTTTATCTCAGGCATCACATCCAAGGGTATCCCTCCATTCGCATTTTTCGCAAGGGAAGTGATGTCAGGTAACATTTATATCTTTGAGTCTTTTCATCTGTCAATGTTCTCTCTTTTTGCTTCATACAAATATGCAAGGGTCGGAGCTCATTGCATTTTTTGATGATTTAGCTTTGCAGCGTTCATCCTTTTCTATGACCCAGCTAATGCGACACATTTCACTGTGACAGGGATGAACACGGACACCATGAGCATGAGTCCTACTATGGGGATCGTGATACTGAGACCTTGGTGCAGGTATAGTGGCATTTTGTTTTCTTACAGTGGAACAGTGAACAGACTTACTCTTAGCCAAGTCCTGCGCTCATGTGTACATTTTACCTTTATACAGACTATGGAAAATCTTGTTGCACCTATTCCAGCTTTACATCACAAGCCAGACAATTCAACTCAGAGCATTAAACGACCTGCACCCTCAACTGGAGGATGTAGAGTTGAGGGATATGTGCGTGTTAAAAAGGTACCTTTTCCTTGCAGAAGTACTGATGCAGTTCTCTTTAACTGTCTAAGCTGTGGTGTATTTATTTTACACAATATATCATATTTAATGTATGTCCCTCTATATATCTTTTGGTGAATAATGTTTGTCCTTTCTATTCTCTGGACATTATAATGACAAGAAAAAGGGCATTCAAATTACGGGGATATAGAAGTTGATCATGCCAGGAATTACTTGTAGCTAATTTATTGCTCCACTCTGACATGTAAGTTGATTTCATGTAATCTTTTTGCAGGTTCCTGGGAACCTCATCATTTCAGCTCGTTCAGGATCCCATTCCTTTGATACTTCCCTGATGAACATGTCACACGTTGTTTCCCATCTATCGTTTGGCATGAAATTTTCAGCCAAGGCAATGGTTGAGGCCAAGCGATTGATGCCATATATTGGTCGGAGTCACGACAAGTTGAATGGGCAAGCATTTGTTAATCAGCGTGATATAGGTGCTAATGTCACTGTAAGTTTGCTTACATGCAACTCTCGTAAGATTGATATTTCACCGGATATTCCAGTTGCCGTGTTATATTAGTCAGAAGAACTCTTCCTGTGGAAAGAGGTTGCCTTTGCCTACAGAAGCTGTGGGTCATATAACCTCACATTTCTCTGGATATAAGGCAAAACCATTAGCAAAAGCATTATGAGCTGTAGAAAGGGTTGTGTTTCTGTATTTGGCTTCACTATCCTTTGTTCTTCCTTTTGTGGTTAATACTGCTATAGTTTTTACAGTAATCAGTCATGGAAAATCAGTTGATTCCATGTGTCGTGGGTCATAACGATTTGTATGTTTGTTTGCTTTTGCACTTCTCAGATAGAGCATTATCTTCAAATCGTTAAAACAGAGGTGGTATCAATGAAAGGATCTCGTGAACACACGATAATAGAAGAGTATGAGTATACAGCCCACAGCAGTTTGGCAGAGAGCGTGGATATACCTGTTGCAAAATTCCATTTTGAGCTCTCTCCTATGCAGGTATAGTGACAAACCTACTGTCTTTAACTTGTAGAAAGGAAGGAAAAAAAATAGACATCTCAACCTATAGCTCTTACCAGTTTTCTATTTCAACTGAAAAAAATTAGAACAAAGAAATAGCTGGATCCTACCTATGTCTTGAAATGTTCATCGGTTTGACTCGTGACCTTTCTCAATTGCTGTCAGGTTCTGATCACTGAACTTCCGAATTCATTTTCACATTTTATCACCAATGTGTGTGCCATAATTGGTGGAATATTCACGGTTGGTTCTCTTTCATATCGTGGTTCAGTTCTTTCTTCGTCTTACTCATGTTTCAATAGCTCTGGTCTTAATTGCACCTCCTTTGGTTTCAGGTTGCGGGAATATTGGACTCGATACTGCACAACACGATCAGGCTAGTGAAGAAAGTGGAGCTAGGCAAAAATTTTTGATAGGAAGGAAGAGATGACATGAAATGTTATGTTAGTTTCTGTGTAAAGATTCCAAAGTTTTGAATCACAGGGTTGTTAATTAGCATATAGCAAGAAAGAAGAGCATAGAACAGTTATTTGTGGGATACTTTCCATAATATACCACCATGAAGAACGTTCAGCAAAATTCGCCTTCAGTTATAGCTGGTGTACTGTCTACCCTATATGTGCCCGTCTTTTCGTGCTCTGGTTTAGATATAGTGCTTATGATAGTCATCAATTTCTGTTATGATGATGGATTTATGACCCGGAAAATAGATTGTCGAAGAATCTTATGAGTCTTAGTTAACTTGTTAGCTTTGTCTTTGGAGGCCTCTTGTCATACTTTTGCAGGTCCTTTGCCCGATTGTTGAAGTTGGGAACACGAAGTGTATGGAGCTTGGCTGTCGATTTCACACCCGACATCTCCTTGAAACACGGTTTCACTGTAAGGAATGTAGATGCTGGTAAAATGGCTGGGTACTGAGCGTGAAAAGAAGAAGCAGAGTTGAAATGCAGAAGGTACGAGTAAAACGCTCCTCGTCTCTTTCAGTTATTTCGTTTTCTATACAAACATGCTCTTGAAATGCACACCAACCAGCTTAGTTCATAATCTCTATTACCATCTCCACGACGAACAAATATTCGAATACAAACAATGGGAATATCTCCGAAACACCCAGCGAGAATCAAAGCACTGAGCCTCTGGGTGGTGAACAAACTTGGTGAAATGCCACAGGATGTCCAACCCAAGGAGAATAACAGTAGTAAAACAAAAGAAGTAAAATCGACGAAACCCAACTTTTGAATGAACCATGAAGGTGAAGAACCCTGTCTCTGGAACCAATAATCAGAATGCCAGCACGAGGGACGATGCTAGGAAAGCTCCGACTGAACCGATGATCCCTGCTGCTGCAGCCATGGAAGACAGCCCTCCATTGTTGGGCATCTCGCCCTCAGGAGGTTGAGTAGGGGTGACCTGAACTATCCCCGCTGGAGGTGACTGATCGATGGCTGGGGCAGGTGATGGTGGAGTCGGAGATGGCGGGGAAGCAGCAGGTGCTGTTCCGTTCTTGCTCCTGTCGGCCAACACGACCACGACAACCTTCTCGTTCTTCAGGCAGTTGTCTTTGTTGCCGCTGATGAAGTAGTGAGCGCCAGAGTGCTTGAAAGTGTAGAGGGTGTGGCCGTCGGAGTAGGTCCCGACTGGGGAAGTTGTGGTGCAGCTGTCGTAGTCACCCTTGCTCACCTCCAGCACCGAGTCGTGTTCAGCGTTGTACACAAACACTGCATAAGATCGTCATCGAAACGGCCAACAAAGACAAACCCATTATCAGCCAACAACATCAGAGCACTTCCATTTGCTTGGCGAAGAAGGAAACTTTTTATGAAGTAATCAACTTACAAATGGAGTCTCCGGTGGAGAACCGGTTGCTTTCGGCCCAAGAATTGTAACTCAAGCCGGAGGAATTATCAGGAACCGTCCAACCTTTGGCACCACCAATGGTGAACTGGAATGCACTAGTTTGCTGAAGCGACAGCAGCACGAGACAGGTGAGTCCCAGCATTCCGATCGGTCTCTGGATCGTTCTTGCCATTGATGATGAAGAAGATAGGATGATGATGATGATGATGATGAAGAAGAAGAAGGATGAGGCCGAAACCTTCAGTTGGATTTTGAGAATAGCGTGGAGGGGAGATGGGGGGTTTTGTAGGCCAAGTTTGCAATCTGTGGAAGTGAAGCTTTTCCATGCTTTGAGCTCTGTTTCCTCTTTAGTTCTTTGTTTCTTTAGCTTTTTGGGGTTTCTTTGCTTCTGGTGCAAAGCATATGTTCTCGATCTTTGTCTGCTGTTCAGATTGTTCTTGGGCTCACTTCTTTTTCCAGATGACTTGGGTTGCAGGTTAATACTTTACCCTTGACCATCTGTCAAGAATATTCAATCCTTGTGGTTTGAGCTAAACTGTATTTGATGCAATGCAACCAAGAAGAGCCTTTTCCCCGGAATGTGTATTTGGTGGCCGTCGCTTTACAGACAATCATGAACATATGCTAAATTTGGTGGGAGATTCTCCACATTTACACCGACAAGGGCAAGTGCAAACTTATGTTTGAACAAAGCTTGATGACCATCGGATCAAGGATCTCTTATTCAACGATTTACAATCAAGATCAAATTTACAATTTACAAAAATTAATTAAATCACAATTCTGCAATGTTGTAATAGTACCGATCGATGCTGGTTCTAGTAATAAGATAATCGCTGATATTATATGTGAAATAATGTGAGTTTAATAAGAAAAATACATATCACCGATGAATGTGTCCTGAAACGAGTATATTATGACACAACAAGCATTGACATCCAACAAAGCCAACCAGTCTGGTTAAAATTAGTTTGATGTCCTCTCGCACTCAATTTCTTCTCTTCCATTAATTTTATTCAATCATAATTCATTTGTTTGAAATCAAAGTTTATGTAGTTTTCAACCATACACTGTTTTGGTTTTGATTAACAAAATGTCATTCACTTCATTTGAGTTTTTTTAAGGATTGAAAAATCGTACCGTATCGACGGTTCGACTAGCAAAACCTCCTAAACAATAAGCGGTATATAGCGTATGAAACGATTGAATCACGGTTTCATCATTGTTAGCCAATGTTAACGTTATAATGCAGCCGACAAGACATAGCTTGTTTGATTGGCATGTTTGGAAAAAAATGTTCGACGGTTTCTTATGAATGATTTTTTTTACCAGTTGTTCGTTATATTTCGAGTAGTTAAGAGATGTATACCAAACAATTGAGTGTTTGGCTGAAAACTGAGATAGAGTCCTCCTCAAAATTGGATGTGAGATTTCCTCTCATCGAGCTCAGCTCAAGGAGTTACACCAAAGAAAGATGAAAAAGGGTTCCCACTTTCAAAATAGAAAATAAAAAAATAAAAGAACTGTTCCTTGCTTAAGTTTCCAATGAACTATGGACTAGTTTGGTTCTGCTATAACTTTTGCAGAAGCAGCTTCTGGTTGGAGCTTTTAAAAAAGTATTTTTCAAAAAAGAAGTGGAGTGTTAGGTTGAAAACTATTAGAAGTGCTTTTTAATATGAGAGGTTGTGTATACTAATTATAAAAGACTTATAATATAAAATATGAATATAAATTTAAATTCTAAACAATAAAAAGTAGTCGAAATGGATCTTGTTAGATTTTTCTTATATTTAAAATATGATTTTATAATTTATTTTATTTTTATAATGATATAAAAAACTGAAATTATATTTTATGAATAAAATTAAGATATGGTAAGGATAATCTTTTATTTTCTAAACAGCTTTTCGCAGAATCTCCAAATCGGAGCTTCTGTTTTTATGTTATACAAAAGCGCTTTTCGGTTTTTCAAAAACCGAGCTTTTAGAGCTATTTGGCTCTGCTTCGACTTTTGAAGTTGAAAAACACTTCTAAAATTCGGGCCAAACATAGACTATATTTGAAAAATTTGCTAATAAAGCTGCTTTTGATGGCATACTCGGAAGAGGCTGTAACAAGGCCCTAGTCTCTGAAGCACTAGTACTGGAGGTGAGAACAAAGCTTCCATACCAAATCGAAAAAGAAGACGAAATTGAATATACAAAAAGTCGGATGCAATTTCATAAAAGAATGATGGTTTGGAAGACAAGTATTCAAACTAGATCGAGCTCTAACCTCTCCCTTCTCTTAACCACTTCTTTTGCACGTTCCTTTAAACGAAAATCAGCTCATGAGTTTGAAGTTTGCATAGATTCGTAATACATTATGCTATAAATCATCTGTTAATATTGAGCATCATGAGGATTTGAACATATATTGTTATAATCAAACCAACTTCATACTATGTCATAAACCAATTAATTTTACTAATTCGTATTTTTGGGAGAGATGCAGATGAATTTTTTAACTACTTTCTTACCCGGGAAGAGTTATTATTATTATTATTATTATTTTGCTTTTGCTAACATTACATGATATAAGTTCAACAAGGCCGGTATGAGTCAAAGTCGACCATCAACTAACCATTTGTTATTGGGTTAATACCTTATTTTGGCCCGAAGTATTATCATATAATCAACTTTGGCCCGTGGTTTCATAAATTAACATCATGGCCTCAACTACCCAGCATATAGACTCAATTGGCCGGACGCGTGGTTTGACCGTCAATTTGAATCAACGGTCCAGCTCACTGCCACGTCAGCATCGAATAAATTATAATAATAAAATAAAAATCATAAAAATTAAAAATTAAACAAAATTGGGACTAGATTTTGATAGGATTCTATGGTTACTTTCCCCCCCTGATTTCTGGTTACTCAAACATACGTTCTTTTAATTTCTCTCGATTCAATTCCCAATTTCAGCTTCTTCTCTGTCTTTGAATTACTTTTCCTCTCTCAATCCCTCAAGAACAAGCTCCTCAAGAATAAGAACAGAAAAACAACTCTGCATCTCCCTCTCCCTTTTGTAGATCTCGGAATTTCAAAATTAAGCAATGGTGGTCAACACCACACCAATCGGATTTGAAGGATTCGAGAAGCGTCTCGAGATCTCCTTCTCGGAGGTGCAGATTTTCAAGGACCCCAACGGACTTATCCGTGCCTTGACTCGCTCCCAAATCGACTTGTTACTTGACGCGGCCAAGTGCTCCATCGTCTCGAGCCTCTCCAATGACAAGCTCGACTCGTACGTCCTCTTCACGTTGACTGGCAGAGTGGGAAGCTTGGACCAGAACCCAGTGGTGGGTTCGAAGACGGTGAGCCGGCAGTTGGGCCTTGTCGATACTTGGCAAAGCTGGAGGTTTGGTGGTGCTTGGTCGGTCGATCCGAGCCGTGATGAAGACGAAGAGGTTATAGACGGTGGAGGAGAGCTTTCGGAGGCAGGGAATTCCGGGAAATGGAACTCGAAGTTCAGGACTTGCAGACGGCGGCGGCGGAGGGGAATTGGGGGAATTTTTTTTATATAGGAACCTGGATTCATATTATTAAGAAAATCAAGTTGGGCCCAATACATTTGGCCTCAAATCGGCCTCCATTAGACAGAGACGGTTCAAAGGTGGGCTATCCACTGCCGATCCCAATCCGACGTCGCATGGGCAAGCCAGTGCGCCGTGGAGTTGTTTGCACCCGGAGTGAAACTCCAGCTCACCTTCTTCCCTGACAAAGCTTCATTTGCTCTCGAGAGTTTCCAGATTTCTTCACACCATATCCCAAGCTCAAAATAATTTGAGGCTGAGGAGGAATGGTTTTGATTTGTTAATTAGGGGAAGATAGTAGGGATGGCAATGAGTCGGGTAGGGGCAGATATTATCCGTTACCCTACCCAAATGAGTTCGGGTTTTACTCATACCCATACCCACATAAGAATCGGGTAAAAAATTAGAACTATGTCATACCTATTCGGGTTTCGGGTATCCACGGTTATCCATGGATAATAATTTTTCTTTATAACTTCAATCAACATGTTAACATTCACACATATTCTAACATTACATAAGTGCAAAAGTACGACAATAGATCATTAGAATGAAGAAAATTAATTAAACACAACAAAATGTCATGAAAATATTAATTTGTATGCTAAATATAAAAAAATTTGAGAAAAATAATAATCATTTCTAGAAAAAATATATATGCATGTGTATAATCGGTCGGGTTCGGGTTGGATAGTGCGAAAACCATGCCCACCCATTACCTGCATTAGTCAGGTTCGGGTTTTACCCGTACCCACTGAAAATTCTTCGAGTTCGGGTTTTACCCTACCCGATAAGGTCGGATTCGAGCGGATATCCACGGTTCCGGATATTTTTGCCATCCCTAGAAGAAAGTCCCAGATTGGGGGACTGGGTTTTCGATCAAAGCATCATCTAAATTCCAAAGGCTTTTTTTTTGTATATTTTTTTAATTTTTATGGAAGTTATTTTATTATTATAAAAATGAGACATTAAAAATTCGATTTTTTTTAATTTATTCGATGCTGACATGGCAGTGAGTTGGACCGTTGACCGTCCAAATTGACGGTCAAACCACGCTTCCGACCAATTGAGTCTATATGCTGCATAGTTGAGGCCAGGATGTTAATTTCTGAAACCACTGACCAAAGTTGATTACATAGTCATACTTCGGGCCAAAATAAGGTATTAACCCTTTGTTATTTTCTGCTACCTATTTTATATTTTTACGGACCACTTCTTAATTGAGTAATGGACCAACACGGCCGCCAGCCAAGCCACCACTCCACAACCAGCGCCCAACGGCACGTTCAGCCTAATCGCTCCCACTAGTGCATCTTCCCCTCTTTATGTTTCCCGCTAAACTTGACTTGCCCCCCTACGGTAACAAGTAATACTGTAACCACGATCACGCTTCAATCCCGCTACACACTGCATCTTTCTTTTGTAAAGGCTGTCAAACCAGTTTATATCGTTATACTGGTTTAACAAGTAAAATGGTTTGATTAGTGGTACAACTAAATTGTGCGGGTTCAAGCTGATTTATCGTGAAAATGAAAAAATTCATTTACATCAAATTAATTTAATCATATATAAAATATATTTGAAAACAATCTACTTACAATCCATATTCATATTTAAATAAAATATGACATTTCACATAAAATAACAATTAACAATGTCAATATTTAAAATAATATTTAATGCTAATATTTAAATGTTTATACTTGAATCCAACAAATAATATTAACTTTTTAAATTCATAAAATAAATAATAAATCAAAATTTTTATTAATTAAATTCAGTAAAATGCAATCATTTTGCTTAAAATTCGTAAATCGATCATGTCAGTCATACCGATAGTGTTAACTCCGATTTCACGACCAACTCCAATGAAACCTGATTCAACCGGGAGACATTCCACCATACAAACCATGCTTTCTTGCAATTAATTGAACTCTAAAAGACACAAATTATCAGAAATATGAAATGTAAACAGGAGAAAGAAGTACCAGCAACCAAATGGCCAACTCCAAGCCAGCTAATTTCCCACTGTAGTCAACAGATGCCTTGCCAGAGAGGGTATAATTGAATTTCACCAAAAAAATTTTAAAATATCTTCATGGCATATATATATATATATTTTGATAATGGTGTCTTCATGGCATATATTTGTAATAATGTAAAGTGGGGTGAAATCAAGAAAACACAGGAAATACAAGGAAACAGGGATTGAGGTAATTAGTAAAAAGGCAGAGACAAGCATAACCTCACAAACAATAATTAACTACTTAACGGAAACAACCAGAAGAAAATAGAAAGATATTAAAAACCATCTAAAAATGAAAGAAAATATAAACACGAAATTCTAACAATAAAAACAGAAAGGTAGGAAAAACGAAAAAATAGAAAATTCCCCGCTGTTGTTTTTGGGTTTGTCGTTGTTTTCGCCCCAGTCCGTCCGTCTTCCACAGCATTGAACTTGTCGCGGTCGTCAGGTCTCCTTGGTTGTGGCGGTGTGTTGATGATGGGTCTTCTCTTTTGAATCATTGATCATTTCTCTGCATCACGAATTCTTCGTAGCTCCATCTTCATCGCTTCGAATGTTTGCTTGAAGAAACTGTGTCCAAGTTCCTGCTGCTGGGTCCTTTAATTCCTTCTTTCTTGATCCTTTTTCCTCTTCTTCAACTTTCCTGCCAAGGAGAAAAGCTCCTTCCTTTTCCCCCTCTCTACCATCTTTTCTCCTATAGTTTCTTGGGTTGTAAATGTGGAGCTCTGGAGAGCCCGCGGATTCTTACTACGAGGTCCGCCAAGAATGTACGGATGTTCCTAAAACCCGCTTTAAAATCAAGGTCTGTTTTCTTCCTTTTTCTTTCACGTTCAAGCTCATTTCTTTATGGTAATTTGATCTCTGCATTCTTTGATCCCTATACCCTGCTGCTCCTCTTTCGTTAATTTTGGATCACTGCACCGGAATTTGATTGCAATGTTTCAGTTTTGGTATTCCTGCGATACCCATATTGTTTTTCTTTTGCTTGGATATGTATGATCTGAAGAAATCACTGGTTTTGGGCATTGCGAAATCGAAGTTGAAAATGGCAGGGGCCTTGTGCCTGTGTAATTTGTTCAAGAATCTTCATGATCAATGGCAATTTTGTTCCAGCTTGTTAATTACTAGGAATCCACATGATTCGTGTGTTGGTTCCCCACTCTGCTTCTATTCCTTGCGCATTAGCATTTATCTTTCGGTATGGAGCGTGTGAAGCTGTGGGGAGGGATTGAAGATGCTCATCTTGATGTTCAATCTTTCTGCAGCCTGGTAAGACTCTGAGTGTCAGGAAATGGCAGGCTGCATTTACTCCAGAAGGCCACCTGGATATAAGCAAGACATTAGGTCGAATTCAACGTGGGGTAGGTGCATCTTTCCCGCAAAGGGAAGCGTATTTGTTAGTCTGGAATGTTAGCGGTTGGAGACTTAAAGTCGCTTTGCTTTGCTTTCTTGCTCGTTCAGGGGATCCATCCATCAATTAGAGGGGAAGTTTGGGAATTTCTACTTGGTTGTTATGATCCTAAGAGTACATTTGAAGAACGAGATGAGATTCGACAGCGTAGAAGGTAACATCTTTTCGTTCTGTTCATGAATTAGATGTAGTAGAGATCTGACTGATGTAGGATATTAGAGACATTATGTCTGCTGTGCTTGTATTGAAGGTGTCAAATACGTTATGTTAATAACATTCGTGATGCTGTTGATTGGAGACTACCATTGTGCCACCTCGGCAATTTTTGGCGAAAGCAAAGTTGCTACAACTTTATCACCTGCAATAAGATTACTTACATTTTGTTTATTTTTTGCTTTGATCTTTCCTTGAGTTCTATGAGATTCAATGCCGCTGGCTCCTAGTACCATCTCATCACATTTATTTTCTCTTCACTTGAATGTTGTGGCTAGCCATACTGTTATTTTCAAAAGTTCAAATCTTCCCTTCCATTAACCTAAGGAGATACTTACTAGTCCACTTCTCCTACAATCTAGGGTTGAATATGCTAAGTGGAAGGAGGAATGCCGAGAAAAATTCCCTATTGTCGGAAGTGGCAAGTTTATTACCGCACCTGTAATCACCGAAGATGGCCAGCCTGTTCAGGAGCCAATGTATCTTGTAGGAGCAAGTAATAATGCTGCAGCTGAACCTCCCAAGGATATGGATGCTGCTGAGACCGGTGAAACCGGTGAAGCTGGTAAAGAAGGTGAAGCTGGTGAAGCTTGTAAAGAGGGTGAAGCTTGTAAAGAGGGTGAAGCTGGTGAAGAGGGTGAAGCTGGTGAAGCTGGCAGTCCAAAAGTGATCGGTGAAACTGTTGCTAACGGTGAAACTCAATCAAGTATAAATATTGCCAGTTGGCAAATGATGAAAGAGATCATCAGCCATGGCCCTCTGGACAAGAAAGTAATCCAGTGGATTCTTACCTTGCATCAAATAGGTCAGCGTTTTTTGAATGAGTAATGTTTTTCTTCTTTTGTTTAACTTTTACTCTTGTTGCCAGTCTATGTTTAATCCATCTGGAAGAAGAAAATAGGTAGTGCTTTAGATCTTTAGCATTTACATTGCTGGTGCATTATTGGCCTGAGAGTAAATGTGTTAGTATTTCTTCAATTCATCTGGAACAAGAAAATAGGTAGTGCTTTAGATCGTTAGCATTAACATTGCTGGTGCATTATTGGCCTGGGAGTAGCCTGTGTTTCTGTCTTGGCCACTTTTGCTTATTCTTTCTTGTGGGAGCCAGCTGCTCGAGTTAAGGGTTTGATGCCTTGTTTCTCGGCTTGTTATATGATTGCTGTGCTTAATAACATCGTTTTCGTGGTCCAGTGTATCTCCATTTGTCCTTGAAAATAATGCGAACTTTTCTTTGATTGGTTCTTGTAGGGTTGGACGTGATTCGCACTGACCGAACGTTGGTTTTTTATGAGAAGCAAGAGAATTTGTCAAAATTATGGGACATCCTAGCTGTCTATGCTTGGATTGACACAGATGTTGGATATTGTCAAGGTTTGTAAAAAATGTTACGATTCCTGCAGACTGAACAGATGTTATGGCAGATATTCATCTTTGATTTATGCTGTATTGACATTGCATCTATTAACTCCAATGATAGCTTTGCATCCGTCAATAACTCAATATGGCAGTTAAACTATTCATCAACCTGGCCTTGATCTCAGTTCAGTAAACCCTTTCTCGGCTTGTATTGAACGGTTGCAATACTCGTAACCTGAAGGTGCCGGAATTACTGATCAAATATCTTCTTGTCTCTTGGTTTCCTATGCTGACATAAACTCTGATGTTTATGGACTGGATGCTTTCACAGTAGTCAGTCTCTCAACTCAAGAGAGTTGTCCCTTGACTGTAATAATTACAAAAAGGAACTGCAGTGATTGATTTGGTTAACAAAGTGGCTGTTTGAATTGAGAAAATGTATCATGCCAAGCCTGAAAATGTGATAACCAACACCGTAGCCAGCCCCTTAACTTATTTGTATATCTTTTTCCCTGGGGAGGTTTTATTTTCTACTGCACTTTTTGGGTGTGGACTTCCGTAAATCATGCGATTTTTTCCTTATCATATATAAGTAAACATTTCTATCTGTCTCTGGAGGATAGTGCTGTCATGACAGAGTTAGCTGTACTTTTATCACGTTAAAAAGATATACATGGGTTTCTGACTTCACAAGTTCAATTTCCTGGTACTGTGACAGGAATGAGTGATCTCTGCTCCCCCATGATAATTCTTCTTGATGATGAAGCTGATGCATTTTGGTGCTTTGAACGTCTGATGAGAAGATTGGTACCTTCCGTGTCTTTTGCTTTAATTGATATTATATTCAGTCCTTTTTTATGTAAAAATGTTGTCTACTACTTGTTTAATTTCCTGCTTTTACTACTGCTCTTGTTGTGCGAACACCTTTTTGTCCATTGACTGGAAAAGTCTCTTGTGGTACGCAGTGGCCTCATATCTGTCCCACTCTAGTTCCTGGTTTTGTTAGAACTTCTATACAAAAATTCCCACTTATATTATCGGGGAAAAAATCCCACTTATCCATATAGGCTATAGCTAGCCTAGCTTTGCGCGGTTATTTAAGGCCTTAGTTTCCAGTAAGACACATGCTTCGTTTCTATTTTTCTTGTGCATTAAACGTGAAGTGGGTTCTTGAAGACATTTCTTTCAGCTTCACCAAAATGTTAATATCCAATATCAACCTTATAATGATTTGTTCTTGCTTGAATTCAATAGCGAGGAAATTTTAGATGCACAGAGAGCTCTGTTGGTGTGGAGTCACAACTCAGTAATTTGGCGGCGATTACTCAAGTTATTGATCCAAAACTTCATCAGCATTTAGGTATTGTGTTTTGAATTTTTTTCTCATTATGTGCATCACATCTCATCATCATCATATCATAAGCTTGCAATGTTTCAAGTTATTTTACACTCCACAGTCCACAGCAGTGGCAATAAGACTATTTGTTTGGTCTTCACAGCAGACAGATGCATTCCTTGAAACAGAAAGAAGAGAAAGAAATTTATCTTTATTCTTTTGCTCTCCGATTAAGTGACAATTGAAGTAACATGCCTCTTTCGACATTGCAAAACAGAGGCTCTTGGTGGAGGTGACTATTTATTTGCCTTCCGTATGCTTATGGTTCTATTTCGGCGGGAGTTCTCTTTCTGTGACTCACTGTACCTGTGGGAGGTATGTCTCTGAGCATTTAAATATAAGTTCCAGCTCCATTCATAGAGTAGTGACTCAAGGCATATGCAACTTCCGATAGTCTGCGTCATTCTATTCCTCAATTTGCAATATTGAACCATGAAGACTGCCTTAATCTTTGTTTTGAACTACCTTTTTGCATTTATTTATCACTGTGTAGGTTTCCCTTTTTTCCAAACATTTTCCCGCCTTCTCACTTCATATGTGTGGATTCGCTGACACCTTCGGCTTCCGATGAACAAACCCTTCATGTTACTGACAAATTTTTTTCTTCCTTCAGATGATGTGGGCTCTTGAATATGATCCCGACTTGTTCGAGTTGTATGAAGAGCCTGAAACAGCCGAGGGATCTAAAGGAAGAACAAAGTCTATACGTCACTATGGTAAGTATGAGAGGGAGAACATGAAAAGCGGTTCAGCAGCAGAAGCCCCCCTTCCCATCTCTGTTTTCCTCGTTGCCAGTGTCTTGAAAGATAAAAGTGCAAAGCTACTGCAAGAAGCCCGAGGCCTGGATGATGTTGTCAAGGTGAGCTTCCAACATATATCCAATATTACAACTTCGGAGCCGACAGGATAACTCATCTCAGTTTCACAAAAAATGGAATACTTTTTTTGTGGAGAAGAAGATAACATAGAGCCAAAACTGTTTCAACCCTGCCTGCTTGTTCAAAACGACTTTTAAATTGTAGTTCTTAACACATAAGACTGGTAATCTTACATGGAGGGTAAGTTTGTAATGAGAATCCATAGGTGCACTTAGTTTTTAAAGAGCATTGGTACTAAAACGTTGTTTGGTCTTTAACTTCCTACCTCTGTAATTCTCGGCTTTCGAGAAATCTTGCCTCAAAGTTATCATCTTCTGTCTACCCTTTTGATGTTTGCTCTTTCTTTCTTGTCCTTCTGTGATGCCATTCAGATATTGAACGACATTACTGGTAATTTAGATGCCAAGAAGGCCTGCACTGGTGCAATGAAACTTCACAAGAAATATTTGAAAAAGGTACATTCTAGCCCCAAGGCACTGTTTCGTCACCTGATTTTGTGCAATGTGAATCAGCATGTCTATGCATTTAATTTTGATGTCGAGTCCTTCCCAGCATATTTGGCCATAAAGCTATCTCTCATCAATAAGTTCGACGATAGTTATCTTTAAGTAGTTCTCTTCCTTTTCCCAATCACTACAAGCCTAATAAAGCCATAATGCTTCGAGCAACCCACAAGCCCTTCATTCTGTGATCCATGCTTAAAGGAGTATATGCCATTTCTGTCAGTCACTGGGGACTCAAATCGATAATGCTGCTGGTACGGTGTTATGCAGTAGAGATACATGGATGCATCTGTAAAGTTGATGAGTGTTATGCAGTAGAGATACATGGATGCGTCTATAAAGTTGATGACATTCATTCGTCGTTGCTCCTGTTTTCATGGTTACTGGAATGTGTCTTCATCTTTTTATCAATCTTCTGCCGATATTCTGATTGAGTTGTGGGTGGTCATCACTGTGAAGAGCTAATCAAAAGTTTTCTTCTGCAGGCGAAGAAGTAGCCACGGATTGAAGGGATGCTTCGTGTATAATGTGCCATAAATTTACCACGGTTAAAAACAACCAATGTACTTTTCCACTTTGCGGCAGCAAGAAAAGGAGTGGCTTTTAACTGAAGAACTGCTCCGCGTAGCCACGGGATTACAGGTTCTGTAAAAGAAGAGGCAAAGAGTGTAGTTGCTGTTGTTGTTGTAACTAAAACTAAAATTTTGTCAAATTTTGTGTTTTCTATATTACTGTGTAAAGGAACCCACCAGAAAGATGAAAAAAAGAACGAAAAACCAGAGAGGGGTAACATTCTTTGGATGATATATCATACAAGGAAAGAGGATTCTTTGGATAATAGCGCTGTAAAAAGATTCATTCATATGTTCCTGTAAAAATACACATTACTATCATTTGAAGTATTTTGTCTAAAGTCAGCAACGTAGAAGTATATGACAGTTAGTTTCCGGTTCTTTTTATGTCATAAAAAGTATATATACATGGAACAAACGATAGATTTGGGGCATTCCGAGAATTGAACTCGGGACCTCTCGCACCCTAAGCGAGAATCATACCACTAGACCAAATGCCCTGCTGTTTGACAATAATCTTGCTTTCCTGCTTTCGTTATGAGTAAACAAAACTCAATCTTCCAGTATTTTTCTGAAACTTTCATATGTTTATCATCTAGCTCCTTATTTTACTATACACTACATAAACTCAGTGCTTATTCACAAGAACCTAGTAGTTTCTCGAGAAAATTTGGAAATATAACATACAAGCATGGTCAATATAGAAGCTTAATCTAGGCAATAGTCACTGGCGATGGAAATCGGTACGGTATCGGTATCCCAATACCAAATACTGAAATCTCGAATACCGAATTACACACTAAAATCAATCACAATCCCAATCCCTAAATAATTTCGGTATCCCAATCCCAATCCCTAAATAATTTCGGTATCTCAATCGGTACCTCGGTATCCCAATCGGTATTATCGAATACATAATTAATTACCTTTGCAATTAATAATTAAACATATAAATTAGATTTTATTGTTTAAATTAGGACAAAGAGACTAAACAAATAGTTTTGAGTTGCCTAGAGCTAACATGTCAAGTTCTTGTAATTGGTAATCTTTAATTTGACGAATTTTAGGTTGAGAGACGACTAATACTAGTGTGAAATAGTGATGTAATGATCTATGTATAATTAAATGACACTTTTGCTGGTTGAGGGTCGCGTAGTAGTCAATGAGAGAGTCTAATTTAGAGGATAAAATACACACTATCTTATATTTCGGTATTGATCGGTATTTCGGTATATACCGATCCCAATCCCGTAATCCCTAATACCGAATAACAATTGAAAATCAATCCCAATCTCAATCCCACAAAATAATACGTGTATTCGATAATACCAAATATAGACAAATTCGATACAGTATTTGGCATATACCAAATACCGGTACCAAACTTCCAGCCCTAATAGTCACGTCTATTTGATAGGCCAAATTTCGTATCTATGCAATGAGGGTGACATGACTGTTGAATTTTTGAGGTGATAATTCTTACTATTGAACATACTATATATATATAATATATGGGTCAGACTCGTATGCTCCAGACGCATAGTATGCTCCAGATTTTATAAACCGTTGATCTAATCTAACGACTATTATTAATCCATGAAGACTGCCTTAATCTTTGTTTTGAACTTCCTTTTTGCATTTATTTATTACTCCTCTTTGTACTTTTTTTTGTGTTTCTTTTTCCATATTATTTATCCAATCCCATTACATTTCAGTCGTCATTGATGATTCCTCTCCTCTCCCCCTTGAACATCATCAAATCTCCCCAGTTGTTTCCCAACGACTATAAATCAATTTTTTCCACATGCAGTCACTCTCTCCGACGCTGAAAGTTTGCTTGCAAAGTAAGAGAGGAATCAATCGATTATTGTATCTTTCAGCTCATGGATGAAGGAAGTGAAAATTGTGGACTCGTTAGCTGGAGGTAAGGGCGGTGTCGGCTCTGTCCCGGCGTATGAACTCTGAACTGCATAATTGATGAAACAATCATCTTCCCTCTCACGCCAAAGAACACAAAATCAAAAGTCAAAACCCAATCGTTTAACGACAGCTTTAGGGACGCGCTTCTTTGACGATGAGCTGTCCATTTCGCCTCCTCTTGGTTTCCGTCCAGAATCATGATTTTCACGACGGCGAGATTTGTGCGGCTGCGGCAGGCTGCGTGAACCGATGAATATGATGAGGAGAGGCTTCTGGAGGAGAAAACTGTAAAATTCGATAGAGCGCGGAAAGTAAAAGACGCAAAACACCAGAATTACGTGGTATCCCGTTCAATGTGAACGGGACTAATCCACGGAGAGCTAGAAGCTCTCGGAGAAAAACTAATATGTGTGTCTTACTTTGCTTGATCGGCTATAGAGGCTGCCGAGAAGCATTAATAGGACAAACTAACCCTAGCTCCTCTCCACAATACACACGGAGCAAGGGACAAATAACAAAGTGGTCCCCAAAGTAATTAAAGATAACTAATTACAATTAAGGGATCTCTACACTCCCCCTCAAGCGAAGGAGTGAATGTCGAGAAGGCCGAGCTTGACGAAGAGATGATGAAACTGATCAACACTCAAACCCTTCGTGAAAATATCGGCAGGCTGATCGGCGGTAGCGATCTTGACCGGAGTGATCTCTAACGATTGAACACGTTCACGGACGAAGTAACAATCCATCTCGACATGCTTAGTACGCTCATGGAACACCGGATTTGCAGCAATGTGGAGTGCGGCCTGGTTGTCACAAAATAAGACAGTGGGACGAGCAGTGGGGACATCCAGGTCACGAAGGAGCCAGCGTAACCAAATGATCTCACTAACAGTGCTAGCCATGGACCGGTATTCAGCTTCAGCAGAAGATCGGGAAACGACAGTCTGCTTCTTAGTACGCCAAGAAATGGGAGAATCGCCAAGAGTGATGAAGAAGCCTGTCATAGATCGACAAGTAAGCGGACAACCACCCCAATCAGCATCACAATAACCCTTCAAGACAAGGGGAGTCGAGGAAGAAAAGAAAAGACCACGTCCTGGAGAACCCTTGAGGTAACGCAGGACACGGACAACAGCAGCTTCATGTGCTTGAGTAGGAGACTTCATGGCCTGGCTGAGAATGTTCACGGCATACGTAATGTCGGGACGAGTGACTGTCAAATAAAGAAGATGACCAACAAGACGACGATAAGCAGCCGGGTCTTGAGCAGGGGGCGATGGGTGGCGCCCTAGATGGTGCTGCTGCTCGATGGGAGTAGAACAAGGACGATCTGCCGCTAAACCAGTGTCAGCCAAGATATCAAGAACATATTTGCGCTGGTTGAGAACAAGACCCGCAGGAGACCGGGCAACTTCGATCCCAAGAAAGTATTTAAGGGGACCGAGATCCTTGATGGTGAAACGATCATGGAGAAAAGACTTAACTTGCTGGATGAACGACAGATCATTACCGGTGAGGATGGCGTCGTCAACATATATGAGGGCTATCACAAAAGTAGAGCCACGTCGGTAGGTAAACAGAGCATGATCCGCATGACTCTGCACAAAATGGAACTCCAACAAAGCCTGGGTGAACTTCTGATACCAGTTACGAGAAGCCTGACGCAAGCCATAGATGGATTTGTGCAGTCGGCAAACTCGGGTATCGCCAGGTCGAGAGAAGCCTTGAGGAACAGTCATATAGACCTCCTCATCCAAATCTCCGTGAAGAAATGCATTATTCACATCCAACTGGTGAATATGCCAACCACGGGTAACAGCAACGGCAAGAACGCATCGAACTGTGACCAGCTTGCCAACCGGAGCATAGGTATCATGAAAATCCACTCCTTCTACCTGAGCAAAGCCCTTGGCGACTAAGCGAGCTTTGTAGCGCTCGATAGAACCGTCGGGGCAAAACTTAATCTTAAACACCCATTTACAAGCTATAGCTCGCTTGCCGGGAGGTAGATGGAATAAGGAACGTGTGCCATTAGCTTCCAAAGCAGTGATCTCGAGCTGCATGGCATCTCGCCAATGCTTAAAGCGCACGGCTTGGAAGAAGTGAGCAGGCTCGTCAATGGCCGTGATAGCAGCAACAAAGGCATGGTGAGCGACTGAAAGCCTGTGATAGCTAAGATAATCGTCAAGAGGATACAGTACTTGTGCCGAGTTGGCAGCACCGGGAAGCTGAACGTCGTACCCCGCTAGCCGAGTGGAGGGCCGACGGACACGATCGCCTCGGCGTGGGAGCTGAGCTGGCGGCGAAGGAGAGCTGCTGTCGGGGTTGTCAATAGGCGAGGAAGAAGCATCGGGAAGGGGACTAGGGGAATTCGCCTCGTCACTGGAAGAAGAAGCTTCCAAATCGGAAGCTTGCTGGGTTGTTGCGGAAGATGTCATGTCCTGCATGGGCGAAGAAGGCGACGCTGAATCATGTAGGAGAATGGACGAGGTGTGGTCTGGCTGTGGGACCACAGGGACGATGAAAGCATCATCATCATCATCGTCATGGATGGGTGGAGGAGCTCGAGGCTGCGAAACAGAAACAACAGCGGGATTGAGCCTAGAGTCCTCAAAGTCCCGATATGGGAAAACATGCTCCAGGAATTTGACATCTCGAGAAGTGTATATGTGTTTCTTCTCGATGTCATAAACACGATAGCCACGTTGTGCCGAGGGATAGCCGAGAAAGATGCCAGCTCGACCCCTGTCACCGAATTTATGCAACCCATGATGAATGTCATGAGCATAAACTAGACAACCAAAACTCCGGAGATGATCATACGTGGGATCTTTCTTAAACAAGACCTGAAATGGCGATTTATGAGCAATAGAAACCAGAGGCATCCTGTTGATAAGATAAGCAGCGGTGAGTACACATTCTCCCCAGAACTTGATAGGTAAATTAGCATGAAATCGCAAAGCACGAGCAGTATCAAGAAGATGTCGATGCTTCCGTTCCACCACTCCATTCTGCAGAACGATCCCTTTCTCTGCATAGTAATCGAGTAGCACATTGCTAGAAAATTCAGCCCCATTTTCAGCTTGGATACGGCGCACCTGACCCCCAAACTGTGTGGCCACCATGTTGCAAAAATATAATAAATGCTTACCAACATCAGATTTGTAGCGTAGCAAGAAAACCCATACTGTTCGGCTAAAATCGTCAACAATAGTTAAGAAGTAATATGCTCCGGAAGTGGACGCAGTTTTATAACCACTCCAGATGTCCACATGAATCAATTCAAAACAAGAAGTGGTCTTGATGCTACTAGAAACAAAAGAATCTCGAGTTTGCTTAGCACGCAAACAAGACCGACAAGGTTCCTTAGTCTGAACAAAAGAACAATCAAGATATTTCTGCAACAAGTCCAATTTCGCCACTGATGGATGCCCGAGCCGAGCAT